TTAAATCATAGTCTCGGTGTTGGGCCAGATGGCATACCGTTTGTTTTCCTAGAAAGCTGCAGGTTTGTTCTGTCTCAAATTTTGTGTGATATTTTTAATATGTCATTGTCTACTGGTACAGCAGCCTGAAAAAAATCCTATGGTATTCCAGTTTTTAAAAAGGGAGACAAATCAGACATTGAAAATTTTCCAGCAATATCAAAGGTCTCCTTGATGGTAGCCAAAGTTTTTGAAGGTATTGTTGCAGATAAAACCACCCCAGATTTTAAGAATGTCATTATCAATGGACAACATGGTTTCATGAAGGGAAGATCCACCACAACAATGATAAAAATCCATGCTCGAGCATATACTTCATTCATAGGTACATATAAGGAATTCATTTGCATTTTATTACTATTAAATAGTCATAAACAAGAGCTGAAACCCAGCATTAGGTAGATCTTAGAGGTAGATAGAAAAAAAGTAGGAACAAGAGGAAGCAAAAAAAGGCCCGTCGGTCGTCCAGCAACTGGGGAACCTGCCAAGAAAAGGCCAAAGAAAAAACATGATCTTTTTCAAAATGTTAAAATAAATAAACCCAATGCAATTAAACATGGATCATCCCACTGATTTTGTATAAAGCTTTCTTGTTTAGCTCACCGAAACTTAGATTGATACACTGCATGTTTGTAATGTGTTAATAATACTTAGGTACCTAATTATTACATTCGAAATTCCTTAAAAAAATTAGAAAATCAATACGCCATACTAGCACTTAATTTGAGATACAGTATTTACTGCAGTTTAAAATAGATACCTATAGTTGAAGAATAATTGACGCTTAACTCGTTTTCAGCTTAACAAAATTTTCTGATGCAATAACTAGGTATGACATTCCGTAAGTGAATATGGCAGTGATTTACATTCCGTACGCGCGTATGGCACTCGAAGTTTAATTGGTTCAAATTTTAAATCTGACCAATGGGATTGTGCTAGGTGCCATATACATGTACGGAATGAATAAATGCGCCCGGTAAGGGTTGGTGCGGAATCTGCGTCTTGTTAAAGTTGACCTCTAGGCCGATTCTTTTGTATGCCTGGTTAAATGCATTGATAATTTCCTGAAAATCTTCCTCTCTATTGGTAATCACGTTATCATCCGCATATTGGAGTTCAATTATTGATGTCGTCGATACTTTCGTCTTGCCTCGTAATCTGTATCAAAAGAATATTTGGAATATGGAAGGGGAGGTTCTTAGCTTAGCAATAGCTACAAACTTTGTTACTTCATCATAATTGCAAAATATTTAATTGAAAAGTCACAATTCTGCAATTTATCAGAATACTTATGGGGTGAATGAAACAATAATAATTTCTTTAGCTTCAACAACTTTACAAGTAAGATAAAGACAGTTCCGGGACGGAACCGAAAATGATTTTTGTTTTCTCTGCCGGACCTTAACCGTGCTGATGAGTTGTTGTAATACAGCGAAACGCGACTACGGATGGTCCGGCAGAGAGAAAACATTTCTCAATCGGTCCTTAAGGCCGCGTTAATTGGAGGAATTTATGAAAATTTTGGGGAATTTGGAGGAATTTATGGGGAATTTGGAGGAATTTATGGGAATTTGGAGGAATTTATAGGGAATTTAAAGGAAATTGTGGGGTAATTTAGAGGAATTTGAAGGAAATTGTAAGGTTATTATGGAAATTTATTCACAATATTGTTTCAAATATTATATTATCATGTGACATAAACAAGTGAAATATTTCATAACATGTTTATTGGAACGTTTAAAACATACTTAAGGCCGCGTTAATGGCCGCCATGTTTAAATTTAGTTTTTGAAAATGACGACTGCGACACTCTACACATAGGGTTCAATATTTTATTATTTGTCCAAAACAAAATCTGTTTGTCGGTAAAACACTTAGTGACAGAGAAAGACAAATATACAATTATGATGCTCCCAATGTAGCTTTTTTGCCGTGGCGCCATCTACTTGAAATTGCTTAAACTGTTTTCACCTTCAAAATTCGTTTTAAGGTCATCTCAAAAAATCCGCAATAATTTCCAAAATCCTTTGGCATAAACATTATTTGATATATTATCTACAATCTCTACAATTAGCTTTTTTTAGTTTTTCGTGGTTATCAATAAAATATGCTTTTCACTGATCCAAGCTTGATAAACATGCAAATATGCAACCACCAACACATTTAATTGTTGTTAAAGTTTTGAAAAATGAACCAATTACAGTTTAAACATGGCGGCCATTAACGCGGCCTTAATTGGGCCGTTACCTAATTAAAATTCAACAACTTTGAAAATATCATCTATTGCTGGCACGACCATCAGTATTTTTCCTTCAATTAGACAGTTCTTCAGGATCAAAACGAAAAGTGTTTTTCAGCTTCGAGACCTCTTTTTTCTCATGTTTTATGCCTTCGCATTTTAACTGAAAAAATTCAAATCTTTACCAGATAGTTCAACTGAGCAACTTGGAATCTACAAAAGGGCCTTGGATAATTAAAAATTTGGATATTAGCAACAACAGATTCAAAACTATCACTTGCTTGTTTCTGTATTTATAATAATAAACCTTTATCTTTGTAAGTATGTAAGTGATTTCTTGTTTTTACATTCGCTTGCATGCCCCTCTTTTTCCTGATCCCAGCAGATAACAGTAAAATCGTTTCCGGAATGACCATCGGTCGGTATAAAGCAGCGACCGGAAGTCAAAGTCATTTCCGTGACTATTGCCAATAACAACTCGAAATGCCCCAACCCGCAAGGCGATATTGGGAATCTTTTTTGTTTTTGCGAGATTTAGTATCTTTTCTGGGTCATCTTTTCCAATAATTTAACGCGTGATCGGAATTATTTTGGTTTCCGGTGATTATGATTATTACATTATTGTGGCATTTTATTGTTTGTGGAAATCAATATATGTGAGGGGGATTTTCATATGTGTAATTCTATAAAGCCAACAGTTTCTTCAAAGAATTTAACAAGCTTAGTATAGATCTCACAAGCTAGTAGAAATTAATCGGATAAAACCACATTAGAACAACCTCAAAAACTATGACATATGCGCGGTCGATACGTCATCGTACAGGCTTATGGGGATTATATTTTGTGACTTTGCGCCCGTAATCCCTTAAAATAACCATGAATATGGAAAAACCCATCAAACCGTGTCCGAAACCGCGCTGCCAACGGTAATCCTTTGCATTGTGCCCTTCAGCCCTGACGGCACATGTTTACTTTCCGGACTTGCACAAATTAATACATTGTGCATTTCGTGTTTATAATAATTATCGAAAATGTAATTTGATTAGGAAATGTTTACCGTGATATTCCGGATTTGATATTCATTGGTGTAAAAAAAATAGACACATTCGAAAATTGTATAGGAATTAATTCAAATTCATGTGAAACAATGTATATTTCTAATAATTTAAATAATAACGTAATAGTAATTAACATTACAACAAAATCTTACAAGTCCGGGAAATGACTTATTAAAGCACGAGTTAAGATGTTCATGAACGAGGCAAAGCCGAGACTGGAATTTCTTAACGAGTATAGGTACCGAGTATTTATAATCACTTCACGGATGTGTATCGTACAATATTTTATTTAATTCTCCTCATCTATAAGTATACTCATTTTATAGGTACTGTTAGTTTACTATTATATTTTTTTTTATGTCATACCAATACATTATTGTGTTTCTATACCTTAGATACCATCTACATAATTCATTACTTTATGCCCGGGCGGGCATAAAGTACACATTATGGCCTGCGCGGGCATAAAGACGCAAAAAACAGTTTTCAATTAACTTATTTTTTATTAACAAAATATAAATTTACGTTTATAAACATATTATTTTTGTCAAAAAATTATGATGTTTGCACACAAATGACAATTTGCGAAGTGACACTTTTTTCCTAGGTATTTATTATTCGCAACCAACTGGTATGACATAAAAGTTTGTATGCACCACGGGTACTAATAGATATAATATACCCTCGGGCGACTTACGAACCCTCGGGCCAGAGGCCCTCGGCTTTGTAAGACTGTCGCCCTCAGGGCATAATCATCTACTTAGTACCCTTGATACATAAATAACTATTATGTCATACCAATACATTATTGTATTTCTATACCTTAGATACCATCTACATAATTCATTACTTTATGCCCGGGCGGGCATAAAGTACACATTATGGCCTCCACGGGCATAAAGACGCAAAAAACAGTTTTCAATTAACTTATTCTTTATTAACAAAATATAAATTTACGCTTATAAACATATTATTTTTATCAAAAAATGATGATGTTTGCACACTGATGACAATTTGCGAAGTGACACTTTTTTCCCAGGTATTTATTATTCACAACCAACTGGTATGACATAAAAGTTTTTATGTCATACCAATACATTATTAGAGAGATTTTAAGCCGCTGAAAAATCAGCATTAAACATTAAACGTTATACTGCTCATGCGCAATAGCTTGAGAATTGAGGATAATATAAATAACTGATATTGTGTTCCTTTATTTATGTTCCAATAAGGGCAACATTATTAAGGGAAATGTTATCAACATCGTTGTCAAATTTAAGTTGAATAATTTGATTTTCAGATAAAAATTAAATAATTACAAGTAGAAGAAGTCCATCTACATGGATGCTTCTGCAAAACATTATCTACATTACATAAATTATATATTTGCTTCGAAAAACACAAAATATATACTTAACGAAATTTTGGTGGCATCCTTGTATTTATCCTTCAAAGTTCAACTTGTCATTTCAACTAACCTCAATTATTTTCTATGTTTTGTTTTTGTTTACTATGGTTGCTAGTAGTTGTACCCAGTTGTACCCACTCGTTTATTTTAGAAATAGCGGCTTTTACCTTTTAGTTCGCCTTTCCGAACATTCGAAGTAGCAATAGTAGCATACGGATTATTTGTTCGTTTTAAGTTCAATATTTCTTGACTGAGAATGGACGTGTTGAAGAAAAGACAGAGATTTACCGATCACGATGATTTAGTGCTCTTAAGAGAAGTCTTGGGGCTCAACCCATTTGAGGATTCTGCATTGTGGCTCACTATTCAGGAACATATTTGCAGCATGACAGGCAAAACGTTCAATATAAGAACTTTAAGATGCCATCTAGAGCTCTTGATTAAGCTTTGGCTAGATCATTACAAAACTTTGAAAGATAAGTAAGTACATTGGAGGGATACGGGATACCTACCTACCTATAATGCTGCACTCTGCACTGAATTTTTACATTCCAATTATTGTGCCTCTGATAAAATATCTTAAAAGTTCATTTTCAATGTTGGGTTACATAAAGTTTAGAAGTTACCTAAGTATTGGATGTAATTTCCAGTAAGTAACTGGGCGTTATTAGTAATCAGCACACTATAAAAAAGTTATAGAAATATATCTAGTTCCTGTAGCTGTGTTTTTTATTCATTATAATTTGAAATTACAGATCAGGAATAGAAGTAACTGAGACAGAAAAAAATATATTATGCCATAACATCTATGACATAATGAAAGAATGCAAACAAGAAAAAAGGAAAAAGACTCCAGCAGCAGGCAATAAAAGAATGGGAATAGAGGCAAGAAAACAATGGACAGCTTCATTACAGAAACCTCAAGAGCTGCAAGAAGAAGCTCATGTAGGTTCCGCAGATTTAGTTTTAGAGGACCATGTGGTGGTTGATGATCACAGCTGTAGGTGTTTCATGCTTCCGTACCTATAATTTGCTTATTTATTCATTCATTCATTCTTTCATCATTAGTTATTTAGTTGAAATTCATTGATAGGTTTACTGAGAAGATTATAGTTTCTTTGTTTTTACCTTTGATTTTTTTTAGATACCAATGTACAGGGAGAAGAGATTATTATTGAATTTGCTGATCTAGATGAAAAAACCTCAGATAATACAGGTAATTAACTGTATATAAAAAGTGTACATTTGGAATTTGCCTAATTATTATCTCACTCATAAAGTTTATCATTCAGTGAAATATTTTCGTTCCAGTTTTAACTGATGTGTCAAACGTCCTAGGAGGTATAAGTGAAAGTAACAATGAAGCAGGATCTTCAAAAACTCCAACATCCCATAATGCTCCCACAAACAAAACAAATTTTGAAGCTTCCACCTCCAAGTCAAAAGTTTTCGGTATGTAAGACTTTAAAATGCTTAGATGAAAAAAACTGTTTAAAACATCCAAAGGGAGTGTCAATCATGCAGCTGCAGCGCTAAAGACGCACTGATTGACACTCCACCTTAATATGTACTAATATTAAAACATTGAATCAAATTTATTCTAATTATTTTAAACATATTGACTGTTTCAGGTGCAGTAAGATCTAGAAAAAGGAAGATAACTGCACAAAAACAAGGGCTTGAGTATCTTCACCAGTATGACAAACAACAAGCAGAAATGAAGAAAAGGGAACTTGATATTGCAGAGAGAAAATTATTGATTGAAGAGAGAAAAATGGATCTAGAGGAGAAACAATTTCTTTTAATGGAATTTAAACTGAAAAAAAAATTGGAGTTGCAGGAAAAACAAATGACATTCGAAGCAGACGAACGGAAGAGTCTGAAAGCAATTATAGAAAAACAGGATACTCAAATACAGTTTCTTTTGAATAAACTGACCCAAACTTGAATAGCTACCGACTACCTATAAGTATTTCTTCCTCGATTTCTACTATTTCTAGCAGAAATATAATGTATAATGCAGCTGATGTATAAACAATTTCCATTTTAATTTCAACTATTACTTATAATATTTTGAAATAAACTGTAAAAAAACTAAAAAAGATTTTTTTTCAATTTGTACAAATATTGAAATAGTTATTATCCTAACAAGTGCGGAAAGTTATACTTTCCCGCACGCGACTGCGTTGCCCGAACGACGCGGAGCGGAGTTCGGGCAAGCAGTCAAGTGCGGGGAAGATACTTTCCGCAAGCGTTAGGATCAAGATTTTTTCTACAAGCAAAAAAAGACACTTCATAATGTTCTTTAAACTCAATTGTGGATAAAAAACTATTCAAAAATTTGAATAGACGCGATGGTGACATTTGTAATGTCAACTACAGGACAAGCAGGTTAGTTTGTCGTTGTTTTAGGTAAATTTTATAAAGGTGTGCGGGAAAAACTTTTTCCCGCACGCCGTGCGGGAAAGAGCTGGTTTCCGAATTGAATTGCGTGCGGGAAAGTGACGTTTTACGAATGCTTGTAGAAAAAAGTTATGTCCATGTTAATTCTTTATTTATTATTTTTTTTAATTTTGAAATGATCAGTACCTATTTAAATCAAACTAACAAAATAGATAAGTTTACTTTATTTTTAGTTCAAAACCGTGAAATCGTTGACAAAGCTCAGTAAATAAATAAATTATTGATGCCTACAGGCTAATTGTTGAAGCCTAGGTACTGCTCTAGCTGAACCGGAGCTATATTGAAAAAACTAGCACTTTGATTACCGTAAAGACAAGAATGGCAGTTTGTCAGAATAGTTTCTGTTTTGTACATTTCTTGTACATCTTGCAACAAAATTTTTTGATTTTTTTTGAAATCAACAAAGGCAAACAGCATTATAGTTTTTTGAAAACTCCATTCAACTGCTTGCCGAACAACAGACATGGAGGCATTAAAATTTCTTTCTGCATCATTGGCACCTTGACCAGGAAATGGGCACAACAGCAGCTCCCGTATTCCATAGGCCTGATCCCCAAATAGAACAAAACTAGTTCCATCTGGCCCTCTCGCATTTTGTTCCAATTGATTATATAACCCAGACTCTCTTAAAATCCCTGCATCATGCCTTCGCCCAGGAAAGGCCCCCATAAGACTCACAGTTATGCCATCTGGACAAACCACTGCCTGATATTTTACACAATGAAAGTGTTTGTGTCCCGAATAATATTCTTCTTGATATAGTAGGTCGACATGTTGCTCTGGCAGTGCCATCTATGAAAGCCCAACAATTCTGAACAGCAGCACCTTTCGCAGTTATAGCCTGAAAGTTAATTCTAATTCGGAGGCATCATAGCAGGAGAATACCTATCTTACTTGTGCATATTGTGCAAGACGGTTATAGTCCAACCAATCTAAATTAGTAAGGTCTTCCAAAAGGTGTCTAAAGTGATCATATATATGCCTATTAACATAATTTGATATCTCTGACAAAGCAGCTTTGGATCGGTGGAAATATCCCTCTAGGTCTATCAACCGATTGGGATACGCTAATCGTCGCAGTAAAATACACAGACCTTCGATTCCTAAATAAACATCACATACATTTTATAATTTTCAAGTTCTATTGTAAGTATATAGGTGATTATTACCACTTGCCACATGCCCTGATCTAGTCCTGAATTCATTAGGCAAGCGTAAGGCTTGCACTAAGCGAGGTATGTCTTCTTTTTGAAATCGAAAATTTAATTCAGCTTCAGGTTCATCTAATTCTTCAAAATCAAAAATAGGCCTGGGGCTAGCTTCATTAATGGGGTTGAAAATATCATGAAGTATCAGACCTCTTATCAAATTGTGATCTATTTCTCCTTCATGATTTCGGCGTCCTATTGCATTACCAATAATATTACGCAATCCAGCCATTACTGTTGATAAATAAACAACACCAGCAACAAAAATGTATATGAAATTATAGGAAAATCACTGAAAATAATCGTTAACGAAAGAAAATGTATGATTATGAGATTGGGAACAGCAGACGCAGTCGTCAAAACTTGAAAACTGATGTTTTCAACGTAAGCACAATCTAGTGGCTTCAAAAACTGAAATAGGGGATAATGCAATACCTTATTTTGTACCGAATGCGCATGCCCCATTTAACGTTTAGTGTATAATGACTAGTCAGAAAATGATGGCTTAAAATCTCTCTATTGTGTTTTTATACCTTAGATACCATCTACATAATTCATTACTTTATGCCCGTGCGGGCATAAAGTATACATTATGGCCCGCGCGGGCATAAAGTATACATTATGGCCCGCGCGGGCATAAAGTATACATTATGGCCCGCGCGGGCATAAAGACGCAAAAAACAGATTTCGATTAACTTATTCTTTATTAACAAAATATAAATTTACGTTTATATTCATATTATTTTTTGTACAACTGTCAAAAAATGATGATGTTTGCACACTGATGACAATTTGCGAAGTGACACTTTTTTCAACACCAACTGGTATGACATAAAAGATTGTATGCACCACGGGTACTAATAGATATATACCCTCGGGCGACTTACGAACCCTCGGGCCAAAGGCCCTCGGCTTTGTAACACTGTCGCCCTCAGGGCATAATCATCTACTTAGTACCCTTGATACATAAATAACTAGTATGCACCACGGGTACTAATAGATATATGTATATACCCTCGGGCGACTTACGAACCCTCGGGCCAGAGGCCCTCGGCTTTGTAAGACTGTCGCCCTCAGGGCATAATCATCTACTTAGTACCCTTGGAACATAAATAAATATTGTTTAAATTTTTAATAGAACATCATTTTTCTAATCTCTGTCATTCGATAGTAGTCCAGGGAATTGCTGGTCCCGATGTTAATCCCCATGAATTAGTAACAAGAACAAGAAGTATCAATAAAAGAAAAAGGGGAACATTTATTTATTTCTGTACTTGAAAATTAATATGGGAATAAACAATAAAGTGTTTTCTGGATCATCGTTATTTACAGTTGATTAGGCTGACAAGTGCCAGGCCAGGCACCATATGGCTCGCACTGTTTTATGGACCCTTATCAAAGTTGATTCTGGCTCAAGCTGTTGTTTGGATACAACTTATCGACGTGTAGAGTTAGTCAATAATTCGGCTACGCCGTGTTTGTTTCCGATTATATCGCCAATTTAGATGTATTCACTATTATCTGTAGTGTATTCGAATATTTACATATTGACACAGTATATTTTTTGTATTATCAGGCAATTCCAAGGTTAATTCTTAATATAAGTGCCAATTTAAAAGTTAAAATCGATTTCTAATAAAATATAAGGATCAATTATATCTAAAAAATAAAGAATGAACATTAATCCGCTCCAAGAATGAACAATTTTTCATCGATAGTATTATGACACGTGTCATTTTCCACACGATGTGGCATCCAGCCACTTATGCTAATGCTTCCGACCGCAAAAAAGCGACCCCCTTTCGGCAAACAAACAATTAAATAAATAAAACGTCCGGATCTCCATCGTAAATCTATGTCGGATGGGCACTGAGAGATATATACATATTACAGGGACGGACGGGACGACAAATTTATTTGTGGAACTAATGTATTTGAAAATTGAGTAAAAGAAAATGGGTTGAAAAAGATTTGGATAGGGGTTTAAAGATATCATATCTACTAATAGATTGAACAAAAATTTGAGCACGTGTAGCAGGTATCATGCATCTGATGATGAGTTTTTTTTCACAATAATTACAATACCCATTTTGTATCGCATAGAAAACAAATGGAAAAAGGAATTGGGAATAGGCAGCAGAGAAACGAAGGTAGATGTGAGAATTGCTGGCATCATCATCAGTAAATACACAATATATTTGAAGATAATTCAGCATAGTCAATTAGGTTGTGTGCCACTCTAAATTTCCCCACAGTTTGTTTGATCAAGATTCAGATTCCCGATCCATAGGTCAACACATCACTAAAATTTAAATTCGTAATTTGAGTATGAAATCGTAAAGGAGGGACTATTTTAGGCATATATACAAAAAAAAAAAGATCTACAATGTTGAATAAGTTTTTTACAGGCACTTAAAACTGGCCAAATTCAAAATGATTTAAAACGCGCCAAGTGATAACGTCATCTGAATAATGTCCATTTGGCCCATATCTGGGAGCAGCTGACCGGCTGGGCTGCGTTACCGTCTAGTAGAAAGCTCGAATGCGCTGTTGTCGGTTGTGATCAAATGTAATACGATGTGAAAAAAATTTATAAAAAATAGATTTAAATTGTGTTTTTTCCATAGCTACTGGTAAAGTAGCCTTTAATCTACTGAAAATAGTAGATAAAGTGGTACTTTAACCGCAAGGGTAGATTAAATGATACTTTAACAGCAGGGAAAGATAAAGACGTTTATTTTGTCAAAAATATATACATATTTTGTTTTTTATTTATTTGTCAAAGTTTGTCAAACGAATTTCTACTTATGCAAAAGTGTTCGACTCAAATAATTTCTAAATATTTTTGATACTACAGGCGTCCATAATTAGGCTATGGAAAAAAAAACCGTTGTTTTACACACGACGATAAAATGCCATTATCGTCTCCCGGAATTAATTCACTCGCGATTCCGCTCGTGAATTAACTTTTCCGGTCAACGATAAACTACCATTTTATCGTCTTGTATAAAAAATAACTATTAGACATAATTTGAAAAAAAAAAATGTTATAAAATCTTGAATCCATAACTAATTAATTTAACTATGTTTCATGGTATTTTGCCAACATTTTAGAAATAAATCTACCTATTACAAATTTTCAATGTTGGCAATTAGTGGCAACACGGTCAAAATGCAAGCGGCGACGTCATAGGGATAAATTCTGAGTTTTTATTTGGAGGTATTTCTTTTTTTCCATTTTCTCATGAAGGACTTTGAATTTTTCAAAAGTAAAAATACCGAAA